TTCCTGTTTAGGGAACTTTTATACAGACAATAAAGACTTAATATGCTTATTTTTTGACGGATTTAGTGTTTTCTTCTCCCTGATGCTTTGCTACGTTAAGAGATAATTTACTTTACGTTCAGATTTCTTCACAGAAGTGAACCAGAAATATTAAGAAGCCCTGGTGAAGCCTCCATGAAGCTTTGGCGACCCCCCCATTGGATTAAAGGGCTTTTATTTGTGGACAAACTTTAAGGTTTCTCTGACTGAACCCTTAGATGTGTTACAGAAAACGACCACCAGGTGGCACAAACAGCTCAGTGTTCGTCCTCCTGCAGTCAGCCCGACTCCTTTTCCTCACTTGTTGATATATATCTCATGAAATGGGAGGATGGAGCGCTTTGTTTCTCCACAATAAAACATAAAAATAATGAAATAATCAGTGTTTCTTCTTGTTCCCGCAGTGAGTTGTTTGAATGATGGATGAGCAGAGTTTGACACTACAAGGATGTTTTTCACATTCATCTGCTCAAAGTGGAAAGTTTCTCTGAGCTCACTGAAAATCACATTTTAATGGGTGGGGCTTATATTATATATAATATATATATATTATTATCATAAATTCCAGTATGCAACTCCTAGAGCGTGAAAGCACCAGCGCATACACACACATACACTGAACGGACTGCACAGTGGTGGAGGAGACATCTGGTGTCCAGCAGGAAAACAACATTTTGTATATTAATAGATTCTGTAATGAGGTAGAAGGAGATACGGGTTTTAATGTGGAAATCATGCTTTTATTGTGAAAAAAACACACATTATTGTTCCAAGCAGACGATATTAATGGTTGAAATTGGTTAGTTCACGCTTTAAAAAACAAAAAACCACTGGATTTCCATATAAATATACAAAGAGATAGGATTTGTTTGTACATTTGTTAATAAATTGGTACATCGGGGCACAATATGACTGGAGGTGTGATCCTAAAGGGTTAAAAATGCATTTCTCATTTAATCTCTTTAAATAATAAAAGGAAGATTGTTGTTCTGGCACAATATAAGGTCTTCATCCATACAGTGGTTCGTTCATTAGTGTGCTGATTGAAATCACATGAAACCCCTCTCTCTCTCTCTCTCTCTCTCTCTCTATAGAGGCGGTGCTCTCTCGGCCTCCCTGCAGTTGTTGTTGGTGCTCGAGCAGCCCGCTCAGGTGAGTTCAGGTGCTGCATTATTCACGCAGAGCTCGGCGGCTCTAATTAAACCCCGGAGAGAGGTGGGAAGGCAGCCGCACACAGACGCAGCCAGGATATATGATGTGGATTTTCTGATTTAGACTCACAACTCCCGGATGAGCCACATCAATTTTCAGCTCCAAACGGGGCACCGAGATGTTGTTGTTGTTATTTTTCTCCCAAACTGCAGCCATATAAACAGAGTTATGTGTTACAGCAACAGCATGCTTATCCAAAGAAACAGGAGCATGGCTGACTAATGGCGTCCAGGTTGTTAAAATGAGACTGTGTGTGTCTGTGTGTGTGTCTGTGTGTGAGTGTGTGAGAGAATAACTACAGCCAAAAAAATTTTTTTAATTTTTATCAGTTACAGAAAGCGTATTGCATTCACTGTGGTTTTCGGACTAAATTTTTTTCTGAGTTTAGAGAACATTTGCAAACAATAGACGCCATTCATTCCTTTATTGATTTTAACAGAAACAAACATGAGCAGCTTGTTTTAGTTCAGCTCCCAGTTTTCCTTTGATCTGGTTTTCAGACACTTGGGAGATTAGTCCTTGTCTTTAAGTTCAATATACGAATGTTATTATTCATTAGTGTGTCGACTCTACGCAGACACCTGAGGTAAGATAGTTGAATGATGCTATGCTATGTGCGCTTGCAGCGAGTCACCATAGTCCATTCGACTCACTGCAAGGTTGAATAGGTTCTCACAAGGAGTTCAAACAGTATCTTCCATAAATCTCAGCAGAAAAAAATGACTCAGAAAAACCAGAAAAAATCGTACTCCGCTAAAAACATTTTTTTAAGTGAATGCAATACCTTCCTACCGAGTCCCGACAAAATATTTTTAAAACACTAAAATTGTATATCACATATATATACTATATATATAAATCACTCACAGCCAATAAACAAAAAGGTAAATGCCTAATTTAACGTGCCATTTAGAAGTTTTAGCAAGTACAGTTTCTTCAACCGACTGATGCTGTACAACTCTGTCAAGTAATTACACTTAATCCCACTGAGCTCAATCTTTAATGCTTTCAGCCTGTTGAAGCTTAAATCTAAACTTTGACATTTTAAGCAGCCTGGAATCCAATTCACACTCTTTTAAACCTGCCGATCAAAAACTGTCCCCATTGGCTTCGTCTTACATGTAAACAGCCAACTGGACATAATCAGCCAACATACATAGAGTTTATCTTCTGGATACAACAAGTCATCCTCTATTCTATTCTATACCTGTCCACAATCATCTTCATTCAATTCTCTTAACAGGGACAAACTTGTCGTACATTTCCGTTCAGCCTAGATGAATCAGTTTTATGAAAGAACCTCGAGGATTTAAGCAATTAGCATAATCAGCACCCCTGAAATTGCCACGATTGAGCCATCTGCTCCATTAAAGGGTTTCTGAACATTTAGATGTGATGTATTTTTATATCAGTTTTTGTCTTTCTGTTTTATATACTATGCTCCTAAGCACCAGAGGGTCCCAAACAGAGTCCAACACAAGAGTCCACAACACAGGAGTCCAACACAGCCAGTCCACCAACAGCAGAGTCCACAACACAGAGTCCAACACAGAGCTCCGAGGTAGAGGGTCTGGGTGTCGGTCGGGCCGTACGGTGGTGGGTCTGGTGTTGTCCTGGCTTCGGTCGTTGGCTGATTGGGGTAGGACTGTAAACAGCGAGCTAGTTAGTAGCAATGGAGTAACAGGGTTCCAAATAAAATATAGAACATGCCATATAGTAACTTTATACATTCTGCTCAACAAATTTTTGATGTCACATTCGACTAAACTGTTACGTGGGTTATGGATTTGATGACCAAACAGATCACTCTTGATATACTCTCATCATGTTCTAGCTATGGCCAAAAATCTAATTTGTGAAGAAAGTAGTCAGATTAAGATCAGTAAAAATCTATTT